GAATCAACCACCACCACGTGCTCTTATGACCAGTACAGAGAGGACCCGGAAAGGAAATAGCCCTGGGGGTTGGGGGTAAGCATGAGCCAGAGGGGTGCTATTTGAGCAAAGGACTGAAGAACAATGGGAGGTAGGCTGGCAGAAGCTTTGATGTACAAAGGCAGGGAGCCAGGGAATAGCTAGGTGTGGGCAAAATATATCCTGTATGGGCCGAAGTAGTGGAGCTGAGGGCGCATGCCAGAGTTTGGCAGGGAAGGGGTCTGAGCACAGCAGCAAAAACCAACCCCCAACCCCCACTGCCATCAAGTAGATGCTGACTCATAGCAACACTACAGGGCAGAGTAGAACTGCCCCTTTCGGTTTCTGAGACTTTCAACCTTTACAGAGTACAAAGTCTCATCTTTCTCCTGCAGAGCAGCTGGCAGCTTCAAACCGCCAACCGTAGCGTCTTGCGGCTAATGCACAAACCACGACACCACCAGAGCTCTGTTCAGATCACAGAGAGCTTTGTAAAACTGTGCTCGGGATTCAGCCTGCCTTTTCACGCAGGCAATGGGAAGTCAGCAATGGGTTTTAACTTTTAAGGAAGTGACAGTATCAGACAAGAGTTTTAAAAGGATCACAGCAGTTTGGAGACTGGGCTGGAGGCAACCGTGACTAGACTAGATTGCTGCAAAGTGCCTGCAGTCAGTCATCCAGGTGAGAGGTGCATGAACAAGGGTGGCAGCAGAAGAGAGGATGGCTGGGGCCAAGTGTGGAGGATGTTCAGGAAGTCAGCTGGGTGAGGTCAGCCCTCATGTGGGAGGTGAGGGAGTAGAGGGAATGCTAGCTAGTCTCAGGTTTCTGGCTGGGATGGAATCACCGAAGAGGAACAGGTCTGCAGGGGGAAAGACCGGCTCCCATTTGGACAAAGTGAACCTGAGGTGGTCTCCCCCACGTGAATGGAAGTGGGAGTTGTTCAACACAGTGAGATGGCCAAGGCGCGCGGGGGTAGACGGGATTATCCAGACTGTGCTAGGAAGACATCCAGGTGAGGCTACTGAGGGTGTGGGATGGGCGTGCAGGTTAAGTAGGAGAGCCACTGGGGCTAAGGAGCCCCAGAGGCACCGTGGTTAAAGGGCTTGGGTGCTACGCAATTTGGTCTCCCAGCTTTGTGGGAGAAAGATGTGGCAGTCTGCTTCCACACAGCCTGGAAAACCCTGTGAGGCAGTTCCACTGTCCTGTAAAGTCAGCGTGAGCCACCAAGAACGCGATGGCAGGGGACTGGGTGTTGTTATCGGTTGAGGAGCCCGGTTGGCACAACGGTTCAAAACCAGGTCGGAATCCACCTGCCGCTCTGCTGGAAGGGGGGGGGGGGATGTTGCAAAATGTGGCAGTCCACTTCCTCAAAGATAACCAACCCTTCGGGGCAATTCCTGCGTGTCCTAAAGGGTAAATGGGTTGGAATCAACTCCACAGCGCACAACAATGGAAGTCTTCCACGGAGAGGGCGCGGAGGGCGCCTCGGGCTC